TCGGGGGGCGGCCGCAGCAGCGGCAGCAGCAGCAGCAGCAGCTGGGTGCTGTGGGCCACGGCTACTACATGGCAGGGGGCACTGGTCAGAAGTCCCGGACTGAGGGGAGGCCCACAGTAAGCCGTGCCAACAGTGGGCAGGCACACAAGGATGAGGTGCTGAAGGAACTGAAGCAGGGCCATGTCCGTTCCCTGAGTGAGCGGATCATGCAGTTGTCATTGGAGAGAAATGGAGCTAAACAACACCTCCCTGGCTCGGGGAATGGAAAGGGCTTCAAAGCAGGAGGGGGACCATCCCCAGCTCAGCCTACCAGTAAAGTGCTGGACCCTCGGGGTCCTCCACCTGAATACCCCTTCAAGACCAAGCAAATGGTGTCTCCCGTCAGCAAGGCCCAAGAGCATGGACTTTTCTACAGTGACCAGCACCCGGGGATGCTCCATGAGATGGTCAAACCTTACCCTGCTCCTCAGCCTGCCAGAACAGAAGTGGCCATCCTACGGTACCAGCCACCCCCAGAATATGGGGTAACAAGGTGATTATCAAGCCTAGAAGTTTATTTAACTCAGCTTCTCAAAATTCGGCAATCATATTTTCAGCACTTACTGTTATCAAGGTGTGCTAGACTTTTGTCATCAGCTTTTTTCTTTCTTGTGCATATTATTTAATAAGCCACTTTTGGGCCCAAATCTGTATGGTGAAAGAGAGTAGAGGGCAGCTGGGGATTTTCTCCAAACATAACAAGGTGATTGGGGATTTATGAGTTTTAAGGAGGAGCCTCAGTTGTTAGCTGTCCTTGGGAGCTCTGTCTGGTGGCCTGGCAAAGTAGCAATTTTCCTGGCTGGCTTGATGGAGAGCGTTCAAACTCTGGGAACAGATAATTACCAAGGGGTTTTAGAGAGTCTTCCTTCAGCATAGATTTGAAAAGAAAATGTGGTCTGAATACTAGAATGAAGGAATTAAAGGTACCTAACCCCTATCCCTCATTAAACAAATGAAGAACAAAAGCCTGGAGAGATGAATAAATTTCCACAGTGTACAACTTTGAGGCAGTACTCCAGTCAAGTATCCTGACTATCAAAATCTTTTCTCTTCTTTGCCCTAATTCCACTTAAAGCCTTCAGATACATTCTCCTGGCAGATTGATGGATTTAGCAACACATCCTAACTGCATACCCTGTGCAGCCCTGTACCAGGCCCAGAAATAAAGAATGGGGTTTTCTTCTCTCAAAGACTTTATAGACTTATTTGGGAGGAAATCTAGCATCTGAACAAAAAAATTGCCTTTCAATGTACTATTTTAGAACAGAAGGGTGCAGAGTGCTAGACGAACAGAGAGGGTAATATAAGTCACAGTTGGAGTAACTGGGAGAGCTTTGAGGAGGTGACTTTGACTTGGATTTTGAAGTACAAATAGGAGTTGCAGGATAGAGATGAATTAGAAGGGTGTGCTATGCAGAGGGAATGCCATTTCATTAAACAGCAGGGTCATGAGGGTTTGTTTGGAATGAGCTGCAATGATGGACTAGTGAGATAAGGCATGGTAGAAAGGGGCAAAAGATGTGTTTTGACAGGCAAGTTGAGGCCAGTTGGTGAAAGTCTTTGAGTGGCTTACTGTGGAATTTAGAATTTACCCATAAGTAATTGGGAAAAGCAGTATTTCAAAGTATGGATGCATATTGACGTTTAATCATTGACTTCAGGGGACCAGCAGTTGGCGTCGTGGCTATGTCACTAGACTCCCATGTAGTGGACCATGGTTCAAGTCCCGGAATCAGTGGCTTAAATTCACACCAGGCACGTGTGCATGTGTGCCCAAGATCCCAAGAGGAGAATGGAGGGAGAATGGAGGAGAAGGGATTGTGGTATGGCCACCCTCCTGGGAGGTGATTTCTTGCTTTCTGTCTCTCTTCTCTCTGTCTTTCTGGCAAGTGCATGTGCCCTATAGCCAAAACAAAACAAAACAAAACAAAACAAAACAAAACAAAACAAAACAAAACAAAACAAAACAAAAACAGAAAACAGAAAACAAACAAACAAAAAACCTTCCCCCCCAAAAAAATCATTGACTTCAGTGGCAGTGTGGGATGGATTAAGAAAGGGACCAGAGGCCATGAGGACCTTCCAGGACAGTTTCCATAGTCCAAGATAGTCCAAGTAAGAACTGGGGAGGATGGCCAATGAGAAAAGACAAGAGACATATCCTATTATGGATATGTCATTCTCATAAAGGGCGCTGTGTCTTTTTTTGGAGAGGTTTTTGCTATAAGGCGCATGTGTTTGCCAGAAAGACAGAGAGACAGAGACAGAAAGCGAGAAGTCACCCCCCAGGGGGGGATGGCCACGCCGCAATCCCTTCTCCATTCTCCTCTCGGGATTTTGGGCACACACGCACATGCACCTGGCGTGAGTTGAAGCCACCAGGTCTGGGACTCAAACCGCAGTCGACTACATGGAGTCCAGCGACATAGTCATTACGCTAACTGCTGGTTCCAAGTGTGCTGGTTCTAACTTGAATGAGCTAGGGTTTCCCCCTATGGCCCTGCAGCTGTGTGCAGGACATATCTTGACTGTACCTCTTCTGAGAAGGGAATGACTTGAGCTAGGCAGAGAGTGCTTACTGATCTGCCACTTATTTCCCAGCTGTGGACTCATTCACAGTGCCAGCTCTGAGGCAGTACAGCTGACTTTCAGACCTTGGACAGGCAGTAGGACCCATTCTTCTCTAAATGGGGATGATCTCATTCCACTGGGGAACCCAAGACAAGGCCTTTGAGGCTCTAAAATATTTTATATCCCTTATGTTACCCATTACAAAGGAGAAATTTAAACTCTAAAACTGTCAAGTCTCTGGTATTTGCATTACATTGATTTTCTACAGTAGTATAAATAATCTAAGGTGCTCTTCCAGAGTCATACCAGAATTTGGTTTACCTCAGCTTCTAAAGCTTGATGGGGTGAAAATATCCCTAAGGAAGTTTCCTTCCTCTTTGTTTTCTTTCTTTTAATTTTTATTTATTATTATTATTAGCAGTAATATTATTCAGTTTTTTACCAGAAAGAAGAGGGAGAGTGATAGTGAGAAAGCAAGCCGCTAGGTCCAGGACTTGAACCGTGGCTGGCCATGTGGGAGTCCAGTGCCCTTAATACCATGCCACCTGCCACCCCCTCATTTTCTTTACCATTTGTTAGATAGCAATGTATGAAGTAGATCATCTTGCTTTTTGGCAATAGGTGTGATATGTGATGGGGGGAATGGTCAGAGGAGGAGGGACCACTTTTGGGAGGTTTACCCAGGTGTTTGTGGAAAGTGCCATTTGTCTCAAAGCTATGACATTAGAAAGAAAAAGAAATGTCTCAGGCATTTCAACTGATTGCCAGGCTTGGTGGCTGGACTGACATGACAGAAGATGTAACAGACAGACCATTGAGGCTGGGCCCCAGAGCTACAAGGCCCCTTTGTGAGCCTGCCCATAGCTAGCCAGCATGGCTCCAGTGGTGCAGCCCTCAGCTGACTGAGTAAACAGAATTGAATTCGCACCAGCCCTGCTTCAGACATACTTGACAGAGCCTAAACTCTGAGGATTAGACCTGAAACTCAGCAATGTGTGATGTTCAAGTTATCAGTTACCCAAGAGACAAGCAGGGTTCCTTTTAATTTCACTGACAAATTCCCTTGTGCTTAAAGGGTTAGCCATTTGTCATTAGCAGTGATGGTTTAGGAAGCTGCAGGCCATTAGTTACATATGTATTCTACCACAGACTCCTGACTAGAAGAGGCTGTGGCTGATATCACATAGTCCATCTCCCTGCCTGGTACTGCCAGCATGAGCTCAGTATGTAACAAATATTCAGTGGTTTGGTCCAGCCCATTATGTTACTGAGACTTCACTCCTTTTTGCCTAGAGGTCTGAAGGAATAAGTGAAAGTACTTATGAGAAGAATAATTTGGATTTCTTGTCTTCCTTCCTGACTCACCATAGCTTACAAACTCTCCCAGCTGCTCTGATGCACTAAAGATGACATGTTGGGTTGTAAAACACCTTAGGCTCCTTTCATGAAAATTCTCTTGGAGAGGGCACTGGTCTTGGCCTGTTTGGCTTGCATTACCTTGTTGTTTTATTGTGGATGTTGCTAGAGTGACAGTGGAGATGGAAGTGCAAAGGCCACTGGTACCTCCAGAGAACCTCAACTGGTCATCCATAAAGGCTCTGTTTTTTCTCTGGCTTCATTTTGCTTTTTCCTCATCCTGAAAGTGGGAATGGATAGGAATTAGAATAGATGGGAATTCCATAGGTTGTTGCTATAGTGAATTGTGCCTCCACCAAAGAAAAAAAAAAGGCAAGCATTTGATTATTAATTCTGACTCACTTTTTGGAAACTGAGCACTTCCAGAAGTAGCATCTTGGCTTATGCAGTCTGCATTGTTCTTGGAAATGAATACCAGTGACTGATCTGATTTTTATCAAAGCAGTTTGGAGTATGTTAGTCAAGATGTGTGTTTTCCAAAGAAATTTGTTTATATTTCAAAAATTTTGGAAACTAAAGATGCTAAAGTATTATTTATATTCTAGCTCATTTTCCTAATATATCCACTAACATTTTCCCCACTCACATTAATTTTTTACATTATAATCGTAAATTATATTTAATTATCTTTGCTTTATTCAGATTACATTATATCAAGGTTGTTTCCATAGTTACTATTTTTATAACCACCCTTTGTATTGCCATATAGTATTTTATAAGTATATAATGTATTCCATTTTCCTATAAATAATATACCAAATATCTTCATGCATATCAAATTTCCCATATTTTGGCTGCTTTAGGGGTTATTATTTAGAATTGGAATGATTGGGTAAACTGTGGAAACATTTAATGGCTTTTGATGTCAGATAACTTGGTAAAAATAATACAGTCCTTGGTAAAAAATAAGTACAGTAATGTACTGTACTTTTGACCAACATTAGTCATTATAAGTATAAAAACTTGGCCAAATTAATAGGTAAGTAGTGTTAACTCTGTATTATGATTGGCAGTTACTAGCTTGGCCAATTTTGAGGGGTATGTTTTAGTAGTTAGATTTATTTGATCTTGAAAATTGTCTCATCATGCTTTTTGTTCATATGATTTATATATTTTAATGGATTCAGCCTAAGCTAAAATCTGCTGTGGTGACTTTTCACTTTGTACAACTCCTTCTCCACTATTAGCAGATGATAGTGAGCCCTGGGGGTACTTGTGGTAACGGTTCACCTAAACCTTCACCAAGTACTTACTGTGTGCCAGGCTCTTTGGCTATTTTTCTGGATCTTTAACAATTTTTTAAAGAGGTATTTCTCTTAGGGTGTCTACACTCACTGGTGAGAGAGACAGAGACAGTGAGAGGGAAAGTGAGAAATCATCCCCCCCCAGGGGGGGGATGGCCATGCCACAGTCCCTTCTCCATTCTCTTCCTGAGATCTTGGGCATTATCTGCACATGCTTCCAGCATGAGTTTCAAGCCACCAGGTCTGGGACTTGAACCGTGGT